AGAGTTATTTGTTTTTATATGTGACGATAACGTTAGATGATATTGTTTTCAATGTGTATCTTCTTTTTCTTTTTTTCTTTCTGGATGTGGGTATGAATGTTGGTATTCTCTTCTGTCACGTTCACATCCAAACAGCTACTAGAGAACCAGTTGGGTCCCAAATTTCCAGACTCAAATCCGTATCAGATGATTTCTAACCGTCACTCATATCCTACATTAATACTCAAATAGAACCTTATTGATTAATTCAAAGATCATTTTTTCTAGAAAAGCTTGATACATACAAAATAAAAATCTTGTCTAAAAAGTTTGAATGAACTAATCTGATAAGGGTTTGCTAAAAAACGAAATCAATTTGGTGGATTTTTTCCTCACTAGTCACTAGAGTGTGTGATGGTTATTTCATCATTACCACTATTATATTTACTCATCTCATATGTTTTCTCTACACTCTTCGAAAGCCATGAAATTATTTTAGATAAATTTGTAAGCACAAAACTAATCAGAGAATACAGGAATAAATATGAAAAGTTGTTTTTGTTGATTTATCTCTTCTTATACAATTAATAAATAAGATCATTTTCCGTAAGAATTTCAATTATATCGTTATATCTGTTTGTATAATCTGAATCGTCAATGCTAAGAATTAATACTTATAAGATAGAAATACTATGGCTTGTTTCGCTATTATAACACAAAAAGACGCAAGGTGACAATGCCATAGAAACATGACTCATTAGATATTTTATTGCGTGTACTTACTTCCGCAACGTACAACTTCTTTTTTTTCTTAATTGGTTTATTACCATAGTTTTTGTTTGTGTTGTTCTGTTTCTTTTCACTCGTCTATTCTTCATTTGAACATTTTCATGGCATCTGCTGCAACACGGAAACAGTGCGCAAATGATGATGGCTGTAAACAAATTGGTGTTGCTTATTGTGAAGGTTGCACACGATCGTTTTGCGGTAAACATTATAATGATCATCGTCGTCTATTGAGTGAAGAACTAGACGTTATTTTCAGTGATTGTAATGAGATCAAAGATGCACTAAATCAACAAATAACGACACGTGACTCTCATTCATTAATGAAGCAAATTGATGACTGGGAAAAACAATCGATTGCCAATATTCAACAACGAGCAAAGGAACTACGACAACAATTACTTCAATTGGCAGCTAATCATAGAAATAAAGTATCGCAAAAACTTCAACAACTATCCGAACAATCAGTTGAAGCTCGGGAACATGATAGTTTTAGCGAGACAGATCTACATCAATGGAAGAAAACTCTTGAAGATTTAAAAACCAATCTTACTTCACCATCTACGTTTTGTATTAATCAGCATGATTACTTTCCAGGACTGAAAAATATTTCTCTTATCATAGCAATGACAAACGAGTTATTCGATCAAATATCCGACAATACAGTCCAAATTGGACAAAACGGACAAGTAGTGACTTGTGATACATCAAGAAATCATAGAGAGATCCGTGGTAGAACTAAATATGCTTCAGGAGTTCACAAAATTCGTCTATACATAGAACATTCAGAAAATCTTTGGATGTTCTTGGGGATAAACTCGGAATCAACACCTCTGCAATGTCGATCATACAATTCTCCGTCCACTTACGGTTGGTCAAACGACAACAGTATCTGGTGCAATGGACAAAGGAATCAAAATGCCTCGTATCATGTTATAGAAATGAAAAAGAACGACATAATTTGTTTAATTCTTGATTGTGATATGCGGACAATTACAATGATCAATGAACGAACAGATAAAAAACATGAATTACCAGTCAGTACTGCCGATTGTCCATTTCCTTGGCAGCTTCATCTCAATCTATTTGAGGCAAATAGTTGTGTGCACATTTTGTCAACATAGGTTATAACTAATCGATAGCCATTGACATTGCCTTCAAAATATACAACAGTGCACAAACAATCGGCAAAAAACTTTAAAAAGAAAAGTAATATTATTATTTTTGTTTGTTACAATGACTGCACTGAAATAAGCAAGTATTTTATGTTTCATACTAAATTTATCGAACACTTTTTACATTCACCAATTGTGGCAAGCGGCTTCTTTTTCCTAGTAAACTGTACGTCACAGATTTTGAACTACTATCGATTTTAAATTCATGTATTGAAAGCAAAAAACTTAAATTAATATGATTATGTATTAGAGGTTATATTTTGCACATATATACATAATGATGTTGTCACATGCTGATTAATCAGAAAGAAAAAACTTATATGGGTGTGGGTGTGGGTGCGTGTGGGTCTTGGTGAGGGTTGTAGGCGTAGGTAATCAATTCGTCTACACCTATACCCACACACCCACACCCACACTCACACCCACACCCACACCACACCCTCAAGGGAAAAGAATTGTAACAGTCGATAATCGTTAGAACTCCATTGTATAAGTAACCTATTACCCACAAAAAAGATTCGACTTTCATTCTTGCAAGTTACGCAATTGAGTAAGGATCGTATCAAATACTTCACTGTATAGAGGGAAGCCTTAGTAGCGTTTTTGTTTTTGAGCAAATTATGTGTTATGTATTAACATTGTCATACCTTTTTACTAAGGGAATCTAGTAGTAGGTTCCCAACATCAGTGTAAACAGATGGGCTTTGCATGCAGAAGATTGATAATTTAGTTTGTATACTATGAGAAAAATAATAAATTTAACCGCTATCTAACAGTTTCATTAACACAAAAATTTTATTTCATTCTCACTTGAGTATGCTTTTGGCAATTTGAGAGTAAAAGTTCTATACTATCTTTTTGTTGCTTTCTGGATATAGCTAACTATGGATTGAGGAACCAATATGTGACTTGTTTATGAATTCCATCAGATTTTCAACTGTCATTAATATTAAGCCGTTTTCTTTTTCAGCCTGTTAATGTTTTCTGCTCATCAGAATCCAACGTATTTTAAAAGCAAAAACTTTCGCTACAGATTACATTTTATGAAATGCACGCTTATTCATTTCTATATGTGATATTTTTCTTTATTAAAAAGAGGAGGTATACACCGCAAGCCAGTGTGAGACAGATATGAATTCTAGATAGACGCTCACATGTATTGATAAGCAAACTCTCTCAGAAGTATCTTTTTGTAATGGTTATCAAGAAGAGGGTCGACGAAATTGGGTATATCCGCACGGTAGGCTGGAAAATGCGACTTTTACTGGATATCCTTTATCAATTGTCCACTAATAACTTCGCTTATTTCACATTCATTTGAAATGTATATAACACATCCCGCCAAATCAAATAATACAGAAGGAAAACAATGGTACATTAGTGAATATCAGTATATCTTCCTCGCTCTCTCTTCGAATGTCAAACACTACAAGACTTTCGGCTTTCAAAGCACGTACACATGTAGTTTTGGATGAAAATACGTAAGCAATAAAATCCAAGTTGCAATTAGTTGAGACAAATCAGCTCGCTGACTACGGGATTCGTACGCGCTTGTAAACGACCATATACTTTCCGTACTTTCCTCATACAATTCTATTTTGATTGTTTACATGGTCCAGTATTACGAACATATATCGTCGTGACTGTATATAGAGAAATACAATTTTATACGTAGGAATACGAAGATTGTATATGAATTTCTTACACGCAGATCATAAACGACCATTTTCATCTCTGTGTATTACCATATTCCAGCGTATACGACATGGAAATATACGATCGTAATATTGAGCCATGTCAATTACCGTATTTCTCTATATACAGTCACTTACGACCGAGCTTGTTCGATCTGGTGAAACATCGTAAAATTGCATGAAATCTGTCGCCGTTATGGATTTTATTATGAGTGCAGGCAAGACTTCGTGATACATGCTCAACGATAGAAAAAATACGACACTACTGTGGTTTCGTGATTTCTAACTATTTCTGTTTTATTTAATAAGATTATTCAAATTACCCTGTTTTGAACAGCTGTCTAGATGTTCATCTGATTGTTGAAATGTTTTCGGTTCAGATGTGTCACGTATTGGAAGTTATGTTACAAGATCGGAAGTTATAGTGATCTTCTCTAGTTTATTTATACGTGAGGAAGTGAAGGAAAAATAACTGAGACAGCAACTCAGTTATATGAAAGAAGGAAACTGAAGAAGAACAACCCAACTAACTCGGCAACGATCACACATATATATGGGCGTGGGCAACCGATTTGATACCCCATTTTGGTACAGTCCTATTGTAAGGATAAAACATACTATTGTTCGGGCCATATGATAGAGGATCATAGATAACCCTGGATTGGCCCGAACAACACCATGTTTTATCCTTACAATAGTAGAGAAAAGCTACTAGGTTTTCTCTACTATTGTAAGGATAAAACATGGTGTTGTTCGGGCCAATCCATAGTTATCTATGATCCTCTATCACATGGCCCGAACAATAGTATGTTTTATCCTTACAATAGGACTGTACCAAAATGGGGTATCAAATCGGTTGCCCACGCCCATATGTATATAACAGTGTACGGGGAAAATTCCAATGTGAAGTGGAAAAATACATATTAAGAAAGGGGAAACGAAACTTGGAAAATTCCAACATACATGAATAGTCACTAGTGGGAAAATCCAATGAGTCACTACATCACAAGATGACAACTGCATGTATTTATTTATTATTAATTCAGTTGGAAATTTAAACACTCGTAATGTTTGCGGAGATGACACTAGCTTATACCAGAATATTATAGATAAAAGAACAAGAATATGGAAAATACTAAGGATATATTGGAAATATGAAAATTACACGGGGATATGAAAGATACACAGAGGATACAGCAAGTGGGCTCAGAATACATAGGAAACAATGGAGACAATGAGGATATACACGATA